TTGACACCTCAGACACCATGGGTAGGAGTATGTAGATAAAAGTTATCTTATATCTCCTGCGGGGTTGAACACTGCAAGTTTCTAATGAAGGTTCCAGCTGTCTTTTACCTGAAGTTAGACCAGGTTCTGAAGTGAGGTTGTGTGGTATGCCTTTATCACAGAGATTTTCTTCACTTTTTCAGGGGTCTTCAATTTTCATCTAGAAGCCCCAGAGAGGCCCTCTTTCTCTTGTTCATGGGGGGCATGCACAGACACCACAGTGTTGGAGCCCACATGGCTGGGCTCCTCTGCTGCACTGGGCCAAAGGGCTGGGCCTATCAGAGGGTCTTGTGCTGCTTCTGTACTCCTCTGTTGTTCTGCACCAAAGAGGCAGGCCCACCAGAGAGTCTCAAGCTGCTGCCAGTCTCCTCTGCTGCCTCAACTAAAGAGGTGGGCCAAATTTGGTTTCTGATACCTTTCTTCAGTAAAAAGAACATTGTTTCTTGGAGAAATTATTGATTCTCAGAGTAGGGCAGGAGATATAAATGATAAATGTGTAGTATCTTATAGTGCCAGAAAATGTAAAAGTGCCAAAGACAAAATAATAAAATAGTGAGGAAAGATGATGGAATGGTGAGCAGCAGAGAAAGAGACTCTGATATTTCAAATTGCAATGCTGGAATATAGCAACATGAAAAAGAGAAGGAGGAGGGAAGTGGGTCACCATGACCCAGCAAGGATCCTAAGTAAGAACTGGAGCCCATATGGTGAGTAAAGAGAAAAATCATAATGCAGAAGGTGGAGGTGGCACGTAGCACTTTCTCCCTGAGCCCCAGCATTCAGTGTAGGAAAGGAGGCTCAAAACTGCAGACACATAGTGACTACTGGTGACTCCAGGGGCCTCCATGGAGAAACCAACCAATGGAATGGAGCAGTGGCTCGTGACTTATTCTGGTTCAGATGTCCCCAGGAAAAGGCCGATTGCCTTTTTGGAAAGGACAGAGCTTAGAACTCAAAGCAGCTGTGGCTTGGCTCTATATCCAGTGGCTCCCCGTCTCAGAGTGGGGCACAACCAAATTAAAGCCAGTAGGTGGTCAGGGAGCAAGTTAAACTGGCAGGAAGACCGGGGAATTATGTGAGCTGAACAGCTCAGGCCCCAGCCTTACAGCCAGAAACCAGATGCGGCCTGAACTTCAGTGAAACTAAAGGCCCAGGTTTGCTGGGATTATCCACCACCTCCACAATTCTACTGCTGGCTTGCTGGAATCAATCAACATAGATCTGGGCTCTGTCTGTCCCTTCTCTCTGGGCTCTATCAGTGATAGCAGAGATACACCCTGAAGTGGACTTTTTTTTTCTGCTTTTTTCTTTCTTTGCTTTTTTACTTTTTTCTCTTTTTCTTGATTATTTATTTGTTTTTATGTCTGAACATTGTTTCTAGTACTTTGTTGTTGTTGTTGTTCTGTTCTTATTTCTGTTTCTGTCTTCTTTCTTTCCCACCTGTCTTCTTCACCAGCTCCCAAAGCTTGTGTAATCTTCCTTTGTCCTCCACCCTTGCTTCTGATCTTTCTCTTCTATTTCTCAGTATTCCCCCTAGCCACTTTTAAATTTTTCCACTGCGAGTAGAATTGCCATATGGAGGGGATATTTACTATATACAATTCTCTGGTTTGTTTTAGATTTTGTTACATAACTACAGATCTTGTTCATATAGTTAAAGATGACAAATTAATAGTTACTGCAATTTGTCATTTTCCAGTCTGATACTATTGCTATTACTGATTATACTACTTTAGCCAAGGTGACACAATTGTCCTAATCAGCTGTTGTTCCTTGTACATTGAGCTTGAGATTGCCTAGGGGTCATAAATAATACTATAGGCCAGTGCCAAAACACCAGGAGCTAAGCCAATAGGCAGAGATTTCTCATCCTCAATAAAATGAAGAGGCAGGATCTTGCAACAGACTCAAAGCCAAAAGGAAGTACACCTAGAAGACATCTCTGAGAAGTAATCATTTCCTAAGGGTTCTCCATACGAATAATAAATATACCTACCATAAACAATCTACAGGCATCAACTCAGGAGCTAAATAAAAATGATGGGCACAACAAAAAGAACTCAAAGGCGTACATTTTTTAGCAAAAAAGGAAGAGAGAGAGAGAGAGAGGGGAGGAAGAAAGGAAAGAAAGCAGAAAAGAATGAAGGAAAGGGATTATAATCCAAAATATAAATAAAATATCCATGAGTTATACTGACCTAAAGAAATAAATAATCAAATAAATATTTAATAGAGGAGAAAGGACAAATTTGCCACACAGGAAGAATTTCAAAATATTTGTGTAGTTGCTTCATGACCAAAGAGATGGAATCCACACTATTCCTTAATGTGAGCTATGCAAAGTGACTTTTCCCCAGTGAATGTGGAAAGGGAAAAGAGGAGCTTTGCTGTGAGGAGACCTGACAAACATTCCCTCACTACCTCAAGTCACTGTTAATATTGAAATGATAAGTCACAGGATAGTCTGTGTCCTTTGTGTAATGTGAAAGTGAGTTTACCTCTGTGGTCTTCCTGCCCAAAACATATTACTTGCATGTAGTCATGAGAAAAAAGTGAGGGAAATATTAATTCAAGGGTGTCCTACATTATTACCTGACCAGGAGTCCTCAGCATGGTCAGTTGACAATAACTGATAAGCTGGATTTCATTAAAATTTAAAATTTCTGTGAAAGAGACAATGTCGAGAGAATGAGAAGACAATCCAAAAACGGGAAAAAAATGTTTGCAAACAACATATCCTATACTGGATTGTTATCCAAAATATATGAAGAGCTCTTAATATGCAACAATTCAAAAATAAACACTCTGATTTAAAACTGGATCAAAGACCCTTAAAGATGCCTCATCAAAGAAAGTGCACAGATGGTAAATAAGAATATGAAAAGATGTCCCCCACAGTAGGTCATCAGGGAAATGCAGATTAAAACAACAATGATATACCATTATTAAAATGACCCAAGTCCAAACCACTGACAGCACTAAATGATGGCAAAAACGTGGAGTGTATCAGTTAGTGTTCACTAGAGAAACACACTTAATAAGGAAATATAAATCATAAAGATTTACAAGGTAGGCTAACAATGGCCACCTGCAGAGTCAGGTGTGGAAGGGTACAAAGGTCTTTCTGTGCACTGGAGGTGTGAAGGATCCAGTCAAAGGCCTGGAGCTTAACTGTAGTGTCCTGCGAGTCAGTATTAGGAGGCTGAAGATTCTGTACTTGAAGCCAGGCATTGACATCCCAGGTGAAAATGAGGACTGGCACTCCTCTGGAGACACAGAAGCGACCTTTCCTTCTTTGTTCCCTTTTTCATTCCATTCAGGGCAACGAGCCCATTGGTTGGTGTCACTCCCACCCAGGGTGGGTCTTCTGTCTTCAGTAAATCCTTCAGCCACACCAAGAACTATGCTACTCCACTTAGTTGGGTGTTTCTTACTCAAATTGATGCATAAGTTAACTATCACATGGAGAAACAAGAACTCTCTGTCATGCTCCTGGGTATGCAAATGGCACAGTGTCACAAAAGACAGTTTTGGAGTTTCTTAAAAATTAAGCTTCACTGTTACCATAGATCCAAGGCACTGAAAGCTTATGTTGAAAACCCAGAAGTGGACATTCATGGCAGCTCTATTCGTAATTACCAAAAATTGGAAGGAACCAATGAGTAAATGGATAAACTTTGGCACATGACCACAAAGGAATATTATTCAGTGATACAAAGTTAAAATGAGTTGTCAGACTATGAAAAGACAAGAAGGAGACTCAATGCATATTACTGAGTGAAAGAAGCCACTCTGAGAAGGTTACATACAACAGGCTTCCAACAGCACATTTTGGAAAAGGCAAAACTGTAGCACGAGTAAACATATCAGTGGTTTGCAGTGGTTGGTGGAGAGGGGCAGGGACAAATAACTGGAGCACAGAAGTTTTTAGGTCAGTGAAAATATATTGCACTGCAATGAAGGTTACATACCATTGTGCTTGTCCAGCCCTATAGACTACTGAACACTATGGTCTTAGGAGAATTGATCATGATTTGATTGCAACAAATGAAGGATGTGCCTGTGTGAGGGAGGCACTGTATGGGAAATCTCTGTACCTTCCTTTTTGTTTTGCTGTGAACTTAAAACTGCACTTAAAAAGTAGAGTGGAAATGTTGGGCGGGTGTCAGGAAGAGAGCTGCTTTAGGTTGTCAGAAGGCAAGAAGTACCATATTAGAATTAAGGAGGGACATTTCATAATAATAGCAGAGACAATCAAATAGGATGATATAACAATCCCAAACTTGTCTGCATCTAATAACGTAGTCCCCAAGTTTACTGAGTAATTGCTATGATGTATGGCACTTTATGAACTGATGACTTTTGCAAAATAATTTCTGATTCCAACTATAGAAATGATCCCTGAAAGTATAGCCTTAATAATTTGTGATTCCAAAACACTCCTTCTTGCTTACAAGTATGACATATCTGTATTCAGGGAAACTGAGATACAGTTGTCTTTGAAAGGATAGACACAGCATCTGTGAGTCACCAAGTTCTCCCACTGCCATTATCTTTTAAGTTTTATTTGGAAACCAGCATAATTATTGTAATCACTCCTCTTGCATGCATGCATAGCACTTATCTTATTTTGAAAGCAAATCCCTAGAGAAACACTCATAATTCTTGTTTAAATAATTATGAACTTAATGTTTGAGCTTCTCATTCACAGAAGTTGAAAATTTTACTGTTTTACAACAAACCAGCGAACAAACAAATCCCTTGAAAGCACAGAGAAAGTCCAACTTAGATTGATTTAATGGAAGTGTGGGGTTATGTTTGGGAGTGTGGAAAGAGGAAGAGAAACAGCAAAAGTTTAAGAAATCAAATGAAAAGGTGAATGAAAATCCCTCTAAATTAGGGGCTATGTGATTTACAAACCCGTAAGTGTGTAACTTCTTTCTGCTATTTGCTTTCCTTAGGATGGTATTGCCGAACAGCTCTACCCACAGTCCTCTGCTCTGTGGGGCTGATACCCATGAGACCAAAGATGTCAAAGGTAAATGCAAGATGACCAGGCCCTCTGAATACAGCCTTTTTGCCAATGTTGCAATAGCTCTAACTTTTAGGTTATTTTTTCCCCCAGCTTGATTGAGGTAGGACTGACATCAAATTGCATGTATTTAGGTTTTACAGGAATATGTTTTAATATATGTACACATCATGGAATGACTAACACAGTAAATCTAATTAACATATCACAATTACTCTGTGTGCAAGAACACTTGATATCTACTTTCTTAGCGAATTTCCAATGCACAGTACATTTTTATTAACTATAATCATTATGCTGTACATCCTTAGGTCTCTAAATTTATTCATCTTATAATTTAGAGTTTATACCCTTTGACCAAAGTCTCCCCATTTTCCTGACTCCACAGCCCCTGGCAACCACATTTTCCATTCTGTATTTGCATGAGTTGGACTTTTTTATATTCCATATATAAGTAAAATCACACAGGTCAGTATTTGTCTTTCTGTTCCTGACTTATTTCACTTAATGTCCTCCAGGCTCATAAATGTTGCCACAAATGGCTGAATTTCCTTCTTTGTAAGGGTTGAGCCATATTCATTGTGTGGATGTACCACATTCTTTTTATCCATTCATCTGTTGTTGGACACTAGGTGGTTTAGACATCTTAGCTATTGTGAATAATGCTGCCATGAACCTGAAGTAAGGAGGAAGTGGGCCTCCTGCACTGCTTCTTGTGTGGTTTAAGGAGTCAGGTGCTTGTCACTGTCCTCTCACCTTCCCTCATGGGAGAAATTACGGGTAGAGATGGCTCTTGGTGTCGTGCTGAGCCACCTGGGAGAATGATTTGCATAAAATGAAATTGTTCTTCTTACCCAATACCATGCATCTTGAATTTTTTTTACTTCACTGGTATCCTAGAACTTCTCCTCTGAATGCATAAACTCTTCTTCGTGGGTGAGGGAAATTGCTTTTGTAGGGAAATTATGGAAGATAGCTCCTATTCCACCATATTCCTGACATCATGCTCCTCTGCTTTTAGGTTCCTGATGGTGGTGCTTCTGGTTTCCATTTGCCTACCAAAAGCTAGGTGTCTCTAGCAAGAAAGTGACTATGGTTCTACTCTGGACTTATTTCTTTAAAAAATGTTATCCTGGGCCAGGGATTTAGCTCAGTGGTTCTGCCGCCTGCCTCACAAGCACAAGGACTTGAGTTCGATCCCTGGTACAAAAAACAAAAAGTTATCCCAAGGCACAAGTTTTTCTCCTCTATATTAGTTCTAGGATGGAACTTTTACCAGAACTTGGAGCTCTAGATATAAAGTTTTTTTCACATTTACCCTGCTGGTTCTCCTTACAAAATGTGACTTGATAGGCATAGTACGTTTGAGATAAGTTTTGAGGCTTGCTTTATCCTTTACTGATGCAGGAGGACAGAACAGGTAACAATTTGTGCAATTGCTTTAAAATTAGGAAAAGCTTTCTTTCTTCCTTTGCAGTAAGGAATAGAATATTGAAAGATACTTCATATTGCTTGGAGACAAGTCTGAGCCAGTGTGTGGGAAATCATTCAGCCCGATCACATCACTCCGAGCAAGGCCGGGTGAGAGTGTGTTTGATCCGAGTAGTTCACGGTGTAATCCTGTGCCATTCTGGTGGCTGTTCATGTTCTTCAGAATGCTGTTTAACCCCGGTCACTACCCATGGTCTACACGAGCTGCTGCGCAGGCCCATAGGAGGAAGGGCAAGTCTTTGATGGGTGATAATTTGAAAAAAAAATTATAATAATTTACTACTATCCAATAGGCAGTATTTGCTTCCGGTCTCCTCTCCTTTTTTTTTTTGGTCAGGTAAAATGGCATGAGTGTACCTATTCATAAAGATGATTTATTAATTTGCCCACATTGCTTTCTTCATTTCCCTCAGTATTATTTTACTATAACTCATGTCTACTTTCTTCATTGAGTGACGGACAGTACCTCATGGCAAAACTTAATTTGGTTATTATGGTAACTTTTTTTTGTGCTTTCATTTTCCACATCTGATTTTTGGGATATCCACTTTAATCGGGCTAGAATTCTCTAAAGAAAGGAATTCAAGCATGAAATCCAGGGTCACATTGTCAGCGGATGCCAGCTGTATACGTTTGCTCACCACTAGTGGACGTCAGCCCACTGATTGCCTCTGTAGCATCCATTCGGGCAGATCCGATGGGCTGTTCCTTCTTAAATGAGATTCATGATCACGATAGGAAAATAGTCCTCAAATTCTTTTTTCACAACTGCCTCTCAAAGAGTTCAGTCGAATTTGTTCTGCCTATATTAGGTGTTTTTTTTTTCCTTGTGCACTAATATTAATTTTCTTCCCGAGTGTTCGATTTGGCTGTGGCTTTTCTAACCTGGCTCCCTAGAGGGAAGCATGTGGCCCATCAAGTGCTTATCTCTCATATTCAAAAGAGCAAAGAAAATCAAGCACTATAGAATGGCATTATGATACAAAATGGCTAACTTTCTGCTTATTTTCTCTCCGCTAAACAGATTCTAGCAAGTTCTGCTTGATTAGTAGGTTTCTGTACAGCTTTCTGTCCAAAGCACCTTTCTCAGGAACATGGCCGCGTCCCTCATTTGGCAGGCCAGCTTTCAAGGGCTGTCCTCTTCCTCTTGTCCTCAGCCCCATACCTGTGTCCCACACCTGCCCAGCTCTAGGATGGGCCCATTTTATTTTTGCCAAACAGTAAGCCAGTCTCTTTTGTTCTTGCTATTTTCCCAAGACGTGATACGTACTGGGAGGAGTTTTTCTATGGTGGCACACCTCAAAGCCCAGGTGTGACAATGTGTGTAAGATGTCCTTGGATATTTCCTAGCCACAGACAAGTTTCAGGTGTCTGAAGTAGCTATTCGGATGGCTTTTATATGGATGTCTTAGTTACCTTTCTCTCGTTGCTGAGACAAAATACCTGACACCCAAAGTTAAAGAGCAAAAGGTTTATTTATTTAGTTCACAGTTTGTAGAGGTTTCAGTCCATAATCAGCTGGCTCCAACGCAGAGTGGCACATGGCAGGGGAGACACTGGAGGTGAGAAACAGCTCATTACACATAGCAAAAGCAAGAAGGGACCTTAACCACATCTTCCTGCCCCATTTATCGTAACCAGACTACGCAGGGTGGGTAGCACACCAACCCTTAATCCTCCTGCCCTTGAGCCTAGCATTGCACTGTGAATCAATTCCAGTCACACACTCTAGATGCAGTCACCTCTGAAAAACCCCGCCTCATTGGCACGAGGCTGTGGGGGACATCTAGACACAGCCATAACAATGGATGATGATATGTCTAGGAGAATATCGACAAGAACCAAATGACATGCGTATGATTTGTAATGTAATCTCAAGAGTATTTGCGTCCATTTTTAAATGTACTAATTTTTCTCCCACTCCTTTAATACCACTAATACTCTTTGGGAAAACCTTCAAAAAACCTAGAAAGATTCAGAAAGCAGTAAGAACTCACTAGGCATGTCTTGCCACCCCCTTCCTTCTGCACACAGGGAGATCTTAATACATAAAGAGGATGCCATTTCTCTGTCTCCTTTTGCACCTGTGATAAAATCCCAGTTCCATACCAAAGCCTGCAAAACCTTCCACAAATAGGATTCTGCCTCTTTCCTGTTTCATTTCCTGTCTCTCCTGAGTTTTGCTTACTCTGTTCTACACATATTGGCTTCATCTAGTAATTTAACAATGCTAAGCCATTTTCCACCTCAGGACCCTTGCATATGCTGTTCTTATTTCTCTCCTGAGCTGTAGCCCTCAAGACTGGATTTAAATTTCATGCTTTCAAAGAAGCCTTCCCTGGATGCCATGTTTAAAGTTAAGTTCTTCACACTTTCTCCTTCTCAGTTTCCATATTGGTGCCTGTTTTGCTTCCTTTGTATTATTGTATTTGTTTACTTATTTAATATCTCTGTGTCCTTTCCGGACATAAGCTTTATGAGAGCAAAAACTTGTTTGTCATATTTGTTCTTCTATATCGGGCACCCTGCACAGGGCTTAACACAAACCAGATGCGCTATGATTGCCCATCAATGATCAGTGGTCTGTACGCTCCCTCCATCGTTGGCATTTTCTTTTCCACAACATACTTTCTTATCAAGCTAGTCCCTTACTGCATTTCTTCTTCCAAAAGGCAATCTATAACTCACTTGTTAAAACTAGAATGTAGTCTATAGAAACAACCTTTTCACACACTCATGTTTCGAATGGTAGTTTTTAGAATGCTTTTAAAACGGGACGAGTAAAGAGCTCATGGCACGGGAGCTCATGCACATGATTTTGGCTCTCTCTACCCTCTGTCCCCCACCTAGGTTCTGTAATGGGCCAGGCAAGCCGCAAACATGAATATACGGATGTGTAGCAGAAAAAAGTGGTTGAAGAGGTGCTTTCAGGTGAAAGGGAAAGAGGGGAAGAGCAGGTGAGTGCGTATGGGAGCAACTGAGGCCCAAGACAAGTGAGAGCCTTTTCTTACTAAGGTGGGTGTCAGGGTGTCATGGCTTCCAAACTTTGTTATTTGGCTTTGTTTGTGTCTCAGGGATGCCCCCTTGTGCTGTTTGGATAATTTCCAAAGCTTGTTACTCTTAGAGGCTGTGGGCCAGAGAAGGGACCTGCAGGCACGTGGATTAGGGCAGGCCCTGGCTTTCTACACAGGGGCTCAGGTCTGCGTGAGGTGGGGACTCTAGGCTGGCCCTGGGATGGACACAAAGTGACCGATGGCAGCAAGGCAGGCACCTCATCACCAGCTTTCTGGGCAGAGATTCACAGCTCCCCAGTCGGGGCCCCCTTGTGCCCAGGTCAGCTCTCCCAGGCGTGGAGTGAGTGTCCCCTCTCCAAGGCCTCTTGCGTTGTGTAGTCTTGGAATGGGGCCAACAGGAAGACCCTCACCTCCCCGTCAGCTCTACAGGGAGACATCCAGAATGAAGCCTGCCACCCACCTCCCCGGGAAGACCTCGTCCTGACTTCTCTGGGTGACCCTACACCATACTCCACCTCTCAGCTGAACCGCTTCTCCCTCACGTGCGACATCTGCGCTCCACCACGTATGCACTGGGAATGTTCTTCTTACCTCTCTTCCACCATGTTCTCCATACCCAGTACCTGGCAGGGACAGATTTTATCACTTCCCTCTGGTACAAGGCCTTACAGGTCCATACTGGTGACTAGAGAGAGGTGATGAAAGGCTTTGGCGTGAGGGTCTTCGTTGTCTTTCCTCAGGGCCACCCTCTTTGCCTTCTTCTATTGTTTACGAAGAAAAACTGTCCCTGTGGGATCGTGGGGTAGTCAGGTCAGGGGCAGACTCCTGTCCGGGCGCCACCTTCACTCTCACTCCTCGTCCCGCAGTGGATCCCGACAGCCATTGCTACCCAGGCTTCCTTGCTTCACAGCAAAGAGACCTAGTACCAGCTTTGCTCACCGTGGGATCCCCACGTTCACACTGGGTGTGAACTGTCACGGCAGAAGGGACTTTTAATGCCAGGATTTTGTTCGTTTTCTGCCTCATTCATATGCTTTGCTGTGCTGTGAGAAGTGCATGCATTTCTTTTGAACTACAAAAAGGGAAGAAAGATCACCCTGACCATCAATAACTCTAGGCGGCACAACACTTACTTTGCTGGGAATCGAGGTCTTCCTACCACACTGCGAAGGACAGTTATGCCACATGATTTCCACTAGCACAGGCCGAAGAATCCCCGGATGGGCCTCTCAACCCGAGAAATACCAGGGTTCCTTCCAGGTGATGAGGATTTGGTTTTGCTTTCTCTATTTTAAATTAGGAAGTAACTAATAAATGGTTAAATGTGTTTGCTGGAAAATATTCAAGTGTAAGGCAACAGTTTCCAAATTCCCTGCAGAGCCTGGACACAGGGGAACATTGGCAGCCAAGCCTGTTATTAAGAAGGTCACAAGATGCCATCTGTTACTGCGTGCACTTTCTGTTCAAGCATGACATCCACTCGGAGGTGGCTGCAAGGGATTTCGCCTGTGAACTTGAACGATGGCTCTGTGGTGGGCACCGTGGTGATTCGGTGAACACACTAGGCATCCACCTATGACAGGGCCTGGGGTTCTGTGGAGGAGACCACGGGGAGAGGGTGCAGCACTGATTTTAGGTCTGTCTTTAATTATAGATCACATGTAATTTGGGATGCTGCTGCCTGTTTCCTTTTTTTTTTTCAAGGCCTGCTTGTAGTTATCTATGAAATATGATAATAACCTTCTTATAATTGTGAGGCTAGGGCACATAAATGAATTCCTTCTTCTTTTATGTAAGACATAAAACAAACATTTAAAACCCACAGAAAAGTTGAAAGAATATTGCAGTCAATACCACCTGTTCGCTCCTGGGTTCATCAACATTTTGCCACATTTATTAACAATTTGCTTCGCCTCAGTTTCTATGTACTGATACCTATATGTGCTTCTTGGCTGACTTATTGAGAAGAAATTAAAGACAATATAACATCATCCTTCCAAACATTTCAGCAAGATGTGTCTCTCATCAGCAAGAATGTTTTTCTCACATAACTGTAATACTATTATTATACTCAAGACATGAGTATGGTAAAAAAAAATGAAGGACAATTTTTATTTGATATACATACCATTGTATGCCTTATTGTTAAAAACCTGTCAGAAATCTGTCAGAAAAGAGATTTGCTCTGTAATCTATCTCAGTGGTCAACAAGTCTCTTTGTAAGACAGTGATGTTATATTTTTGAGACACTTTGAAAAAAATCTGATGAAAGCTCTGGGCTCTCTTTAAAAAAAAATATCCACGAGGACACTTCTCCAAGCCAGCAACACGGGCATCTCAGAGTTTCAGGTTAAGAGCCATTAATGTTTACTCTAAATTCTCCTTCTTTGTGTATATATAATTTTAAAAAGATGGCGAATGATTTGTCTTCATTTTCCAACATTATGTTTTATGTTCATGAACCTTCATTTCAAGGGACTCAGAATTTCAAGGAGCTGTGAGATGGGAAGTTGGGAGACTGAATTAGCTCCGACCTATTAAACGAAGACTGAATCCGCAAACAAGGCTGACAGTTGCATTATGACAGACACCCAGTAGGCGGACTAAATGATTAGAAGATCTAGGGACTCCTGCCACACTTGAGCTGATTCTGTGAGAGCAGAAGCTCACAAATCTACACTTGCCTTCTTGATAATTTACTTAAAAATTTTTTTTGATTTATCTTTCATTTATTTATTCTTAAATAAGTTGTACTTTATTTTATCTCATGCCTCCCCCTCAAAAAATTAAATTCTTGTGATAGCCCATCAGGTTTAACACAACATTTAAAGGCCAAATAACTAATGGTAGAATTTGTTGGCAATTATTAAAATGGTTAGTTATTTCAACACAATCACCCAGTGTGGTTGCAGTGCTAGGACTAAGAAGAGGAAGCAGGGAGGTGGACAGGGGGTGTTAAATTAGGGTCATATTGAGCATCCTTAGTCAAAAGGGGGATGAAATTGCCAAAGTCAAGTAGCACCGTGGCTCTGTTTTCTCAACTGTAAACTCACAAAAAAAAATCATTAGCTAACTATATTCCAACATATGTGAGCTTTCTGCTAACCCCGGGTATAAACAGACCTAAGAAAATGAGAATCATTCCCAGGTCAGACCAAGTTGGGCAAAAAGATAGACACAAATAATGCAAATACCTTATGCAATAATCTAACACAAATTCTCATATCTGGTTTTTGTATTTGTTTTTCATAGTACATCAAATGCCTCAAAATAGCATTCTATAAAGCTTTAATACCATATAGCCATATCTACTAATTAATGGTTAGCTAGCTAAACCTCTGGTGGGCCTGTGGGGTTTACAAAAGTCTTACAGAGAGCTGAAAGGCTCAAGAATTCACAGGGAATGGAACAATCAGCTGCTTTTGCCGTATATACTTCTTTTACTGTAGATATTTAACTAAATGTTGGTCAAGATCTTTGACTCTGGCTTTAAAAATTTATCAGCATAAAGGCATAAATAACAATGACTATTTGCCAAAGTCTATTTCTCTCCCTCTGCTCTCTTTTAATGGACAGAGTCTATCATGTTATGCCAAGCAAGACCCCCCCATCAGCATTTATTGGGTCATTTTTAATTAAAAAACACCAGAGAACTAAACAAGATCAGTCATTAGGGAAATTCAATTTTAAAACACAATGAGATAGTACTTCACATTTATTAGCATACCTATAGCCATAAGGACAGGTAATAAATGTTGGTGAAGATGTAAAGACACTGGAACATTCAATGTTGGCGGGAATATGAAATAATACAATTACTTTGGAAAACGGTGTGGCAGTTTCTTTACAAGTCAAACACAAGTCTACCATAGGGTGCAACAATTCTACACCTAGGATTTTATCCAAGAGAAATGAAAGCTTATGTACCAAGAGTTGCATGTGAATGTAGACCACCGCATTATCCACAGTAGCCAAAATTGGAGATGCCTTTGATCTCCATTAATGGATGAGTGGATAACAAATCTGGCATATTCATACAACAGAATACTACCCATTAATAAAATAAGAACAGAATATTCAAGGATCTGCAAAATAGCTGAACCTAAAAGGTATTATGCTAAATACAAGAAGCCAGACATGAAAGATCACACAAGGTATGATTCCATATATATGAAGTAGCTGACGAAGGCACATCTATACAGAAAGAGGTTAGTCATCTCCTGGGCATAGGGGTAAAAAAGGGGGGCATGAGGGATTTCATTGGGGTGCTTAAAGCTGGACAATAGTGATGGTTGTATAACTTGGTAAATTTACTGAAAATCATCAAACTGCACACTCAGGGTCAGTTAACTTTAGAATGAGTTCAAACTCAGTAAGATTGTTAAAAGAACACACCTGAACTTGGATCCTTACAGAAAATTTACAGTGCTGTTGAAAGTGAAGAATATAAGCTATGTATCACAGAACAATGTTCTGGACATTAAAATGTTTACCCCTTCCTAAACTCCACACAAATTAATTTTCAATCATGGTTTTGTCTGACCTGATTGACTCTTACTTTTCTGTTGGTCAGATGCTAAAGAGCAACAAATGATGTGTGCACAATTTGTTGGTAGTAGCCTAACTGGGAGCATAAGAAATTTTATTCAAACTGTGGATTCCCATCTTCATTTGCATGCAGGCCGATTCCCTGATATAACCCGGTCCTTGAAAAATCCACTTGATGTCAAGCACAGAGCGGTAAGTCCAACATTTCTCAGCGATCTTCTATACACTGAGAGATTAAGTGATTGCATATCACATATTATTAATAAAAAGCAAACAAAAAAGGGTCAGGCTTTTAGGAAGTCCTTCATCAAACATTTGTTTCTGAGGACTTATTATGTGTATAACTTTTTATGAGGTGGTGGGGATTCAGAGGCAAGCTAGGCTACCATTTGTGAACAGCTGATGACGCCATGCTTATATTATGCTCACCAGCTTTTCTTTGGTCCTATGCATGGCAAGAATGACATGCACAATAGTAGCAGTTAGAGCCCAAACAACATCTCCCTGATTATAAGCTTTCCAATAATATAGAGGACCAAAGTAGAAGCAGAAGTAAAAATCATTTGAAATCTTCCCCCCCGCCCCCAAAGACAAATCACAATGTACACTTTAGTTAATCTCCTTACAAATATCTCTTTACTTGTGCATAGAAATTCATGTACACGTGTACATACTGTGTTGCTGAGGTCGTGCTGGACACTGTCCTCTGAAATCTGCTTCTCACCACCCAACATTTTCATGGACATCTTTTATTGTTAACATCATACTTAACGGATATATCAGATTCCACTAACTGTATATATCAGAATTTTGAAATATTCCTCATCACCAGGCACTTAGGTTTTTTGAGTTTATTATAAACAATGTTATGATGGTGATAATTTGAAAATATAGTTTTGCAATTGTGAATTCGTCTCTTTAGAGTATGTTCCCGGAAGTGGAATTCTTGGGTCAGCAAGTATGCTTGACTTACATTTGGCTAAAGTGCCTCCAGAGAATTAGCCTCATGACCCAACAGTACATGACAGTGCTTATTTTCTTTTTTGTTTGTTTGTTGTTTTTTATACAGGGTCTCCCTATGTAGTTCAGGCTGGCTTTGAACTCTACGCAGCCGACTGGCCTTGAATTCACAGCAATCCTCCTGCCTCAGCCTCCTGAGTGCCAAGAGTGCTTGCTTTCTTAACATTTACTTTAAAAAATAATCTTCGGGAGGTGGAGGCAGGAGGATCACTGAGTTTGAGACCAGCCTGGGCTACACAGTGAGTTCCAGGGCAGTCTGAACTACATAGTGAGACCCTGTCTCAAAAAAAAAAGAAAAAATGGAAAATATAATCTTAATGTTTTTCTATTTTGATGGATGGCACTATTTCAAGTCTCTGCTTTCATTTTCTTTATTGGTGAGATTGAGCACCTTCTCTTGTTTATCAGTTTTACATTTTTTTCCTGCTTTAGAGTTGCTTCTCATTATTTACAGTAGTGATGTTCTGTAAAGTTGCCGTGAACCCTGAATTCACCTTTACTGACCTGTTACCCCTGGAGAAATACAAGGCCAGGTTTCTGCAAGCCTACAGTCACATTTTTTGTTGAGTGATCAATATGGAATTTGCTTTTATGAATGCTTCTGTTTAAAGACACTTCATTAAGATGTTGTTAATTTATTAATAGCACTTTAATGGAGCCTAACTAACACGTCTTTTCTCTGTGAGGCACAATCATAGCCTTGTTCTTAGGAACACTAGGCATCACTTGAGCACTGGGCTCGAGCCATTTTAAATAGGAAATCACCAACAACAAATGCAGAGATTGTGGCTCTTCATAGAATGCAAAAAAGATACTGATTACAATACCGGAGTTCAAATAAGGTCTGGCTCACACTGTGTGACCTGGCTGGGAGCAGGCGTGTCAGGTGTCTTGCCATTCTGTGCAAATTACCTCAAGAGTACTGTGCATGTACACTGTGAGGTTATATATAAATTTCAGCCAGCAGGTGAATCCACAAATAGGGAATCCATGAATAATAAAGATAGAGTTTATTTCCTTTGTCTGTTTTCCTACAGGCTGTTTAGTGTTTCCTCATTGACTTTGTAAACTGTTTACATATTAGGATTATGCTATTTTGCCCATCCTATCTTATAAGTATCTTCCTCAGTTTTCTTTGCATTTTACTTATTGTCTGTTATTACAGTGGCTTTTTTTCCCCAGTGCAGGGGCTCCTGCCTGCTAGGCAAGCTCTCTACCACTGAGCTACATCCCCACTCCTACAGTGTCTTTTTCATAACAGTATCAAAGGCCTTTTGAAGTCTGAAGAGGGTACAACATTGAAAAAGGAATTTTATTAGGTTTCTGTTACTGTAAAAGTGGCTGGTATTTATATCTAACTCCTTTTTACAGGCACACCAGATTTGGTATTCTGCCGATTTTCCTTCTGCATTTCCAAATTATAAAAAATCACGTAAGTCATGTCTTAAACTACTATTTTATATCTATTTTCAGTCTTTATTTTCATCATGCTCTTCATCTAATATTTGCATGCTTTCCGCAGAGAACATTGAAGGCCTTTTACATTTCTTTTTCCTCATTCCTGTCACCCACCTTGTTAGTATGTCTCCTAAAACCAAGACATGTAGGATCCAGAAATGATAGGAGGAAGAAATCCCACAGAGACATCAGCCACACAGTAGCAGCTCTGAAAAAGAGCATATATTGTATATGAGGAGGTGTGGTGGTGGCAGAGGTGTATTTCAAAGGTTTGGAACTATCAATTAAAAGGTATTTGGAAACACGAGGCATGGTGGTGCATGCTTGTAATCCCAGCACTTGGGAAGCTGAGGCAGGAGGATTGCAGCAAGTTTGAGGCCAAGCTTGGGTTACATAATATGAGCAGCCTAAACTACATTGTGAGGCCCTATCTTTTAAAAAAAAAAGTGTTTTTAATGGCAGTATAAATTTCATTTATTCATACTATGGCAGGCTCTGCTTTCCACAAGCACTTTACACTTTGGCTGTCTTCGCCCTAGGTGTGAGATCTAAAGAGCCAGCCCTGGAGACCCTGCTGAGCCACAGATGTGCACGGCAAAGCTTCCCAAAGCAGGTAAGAGCCTTTCCGCAAGTCACCCAGCTGTGCGTAGACTCTCTGGTGTCTGCCAAGCGGTGGCAATGGTGGCAGGTGGATGTTTCCAGTTGGTGGAGAAGTGTTCCTTGATCTATCACCAGGTGGAAGGCAGAGCAGTTCAGTTCAGCTAGGCATCAGGGGCAGTTTCTAGGTGTTTAGGAAACCCAGGCTCACGGGGACAGGACTTCCTATAGTTCAGTCCAGCGATGCCACTGGGGTCTTGGATTCTGCCTCTTGTGAAACAGGCAGTTAGCTCGGACTGTCCCCTGCTGGGGGGCCGTCCCAGGTGCTCCCTTCATGTGGCCCTCCAGACCAGGGGCTTCCAAAGTGTCTGGTAACACGTTTTCAAAATCCAGTCACTTTTAACAGGATTTAAAATAAGATTTGTTTTATGTCCCAGAGTTCCTCTTAGAGAAGTAAGTTGAAAGAAAACTGGTTTCTGCATATATCCTGCTGACTTCACTTACTATGAAAGTTACAACTATCTTTTTTGCTATCCTGTGACTTTTGCTTATTAAAATGGCTCTTTAAATTGATTTTAAAAAATCACACTTACCCTAAGTAATTGTATTTGTAGCATCATGGGTTTGGTATGCTAGTTATGTATGTTAAAAAAAAAAGCCTGACCATTAAAAAAAATATTCAAGTATCAGCTAACATTATCACAGAAACCACCAGTTAAACAGACACATTTCAGGGCCAGGGATTTAGCTCAGTGGTTCCGCCACCAGCCTCACAAACACAAAGACCTGAGTTCCATCCCCGGTACCCCCCTCAAAAAATACACTTTGCTTTAAAAATGCTTGTCTGTGGCACCAATGAGGGAATCCAATAAATTTAGCTAAGGTTGGAGGGCTGATGGCCCAGCTTGGATCCCGTTTAATGGTACCCTTCTAGAAAGCACCTGATCTAGGGAACACTTCAAGCACAGGGAGGCAGTGCCGTGGCAGAGCTTCATTCGGGGACATTTGAAGCTGTGTGACCCACTGGAAGTTACACTGTGTGGGCCTCCCTTCGAGATGGGCTTGGTGCTCACTTCTAGGGAGGATAGAAAGAAGATTTCCTGAAAGTCTACTTACCGCTAGCTGGACTCCTGGGAGTTGCATGGGAGAATCATTATTGTTCAATAAATCAATCCCTCTTGCTACATGGAGTGCCCTGATGCCAGGCCACTGACAGTGTCCTGCCAGTGTTCGCAGCGGTTGGGAACAATTCTCTTCCTCTGTAAGGTGCTTCCCAGCCCCTCCTCTAGAGTAAATTCTCTCTCCTCACAGTGGCTGCTCTCAAGTCGTTCACTCATCTCAAGGAAGTGGGCCGGGGATTTAGCGCTGTGGTTCTGCCACTTGCCTCATAATAGCAAGGTCCTGAGTTCAATCCCCCAAAACAAAAAAACCAAGGAAGTGATGTTACATCCTACTCCTGTTGTGTGATGCAGTGACGGCTAAAAGTACACACACACACACACACACACTCACACACCCCGAAGCAATATGGGGCACTCATCTGAGAAAACAGACCTGAAAATCATGACTTTTCTGAGACAAGGAAAATATTAATATTTTTTAAATAGATGCTAATATCTTAGGGGAAAGAGAACAAAGCGTTAGTAACACGTAGGGAACGAATAAAATGTTCAACCATTAGCAATATGCTTACTTTTCATATCAGCTTGGTGGTGCCTTTAGTAACCATCCTGTAGATATTTACATTCCAGGGTCCTAATTTGAAGAAGTTCATGATGTAAAACTGGAAAGCAGAGAATTCACAACCAGGAACATGCGATTTTAAGAAATGGTGGAAACCGCAGGGAGAGGAGGGGTGCTTAGCGCTAAAGGATGATTAAAAGGATCAGGGGGGAAAAACGATCAGGGAAGAAGGAGATTAGTGAGCCCCATCCTGTTTATTGATCTGACCTCCTGACAGAGGCACAACATAGTAATAGGAAGGTCAAAAAGGATGGCCGAAAAAACGTCGAAACAACCCCAACTCCCCGCTCAAGAATGATGTCTGGTTTGAAGGAGGTAATTTAATTCCCAGTTCTGCGGCAAGAGTGACCTTTTCGGATGATCGAGTGTTGACAATCGGGCCATTTTCCCTCCAGTTTCAGGGACGATGGGATTCTATAAGTAAAGTCGGTTCATCCGAAGACTCAGAAGCTGATCAATATTCCCATTACGGTCGGGGAGGACTGTTATCGTTACTTTCCTGACTTGGAAAACAAGCCACAGGCTGGAGGCCCAGAGTTTGCGCGATAAACGACTGTGAGGTAAGAGGGGGACCTTGGGCCAGCGACTGGACCCTGGCAGGCTGGACGCTCGGTCTCCAGCGCCTTCGTGTGTGTGTGTGTGTTGAGAGAGAGAGAGAGAGAGAGAGAGAGAGAGAGAGAGGTGGAGGAGGGGGATCAAAGTTAGCGTGATAATCCTTAAAGTTTCTTTAAAGTTAAGTACTTGGAACCCACTTCCTCCACTTGAACCACGCCAGGTCCGGACACCCGTGGGCTCCAGTGTCAGAGCCAGGCCCTCCGCCTGTGGGAGCCCGGGAAGGGCACGGGGCCGCAAGCAAGGCTATTTAGTATTCACGCCCTGGTCCAGGAAGGCCGGAGCCTCCCGCGGCCAGGTTTCCCAGCGCGAGCCGCCGCCAGGAAGCAAACG